TAGTTTCTTCATTAAAGAGGATCTGAGTCACGGAGGACTACACAACTGCATTTGCGAAGAGACAACAGGAGTTACACAGACCATGAAAAGCACGTTTATAAGTTTATTAGGCAAAAAAAAAAAAAAAAAAAGGTACAAGAGAAAGATCTCTTGCTTGAATTTTAAAACATAGGAGGGGCCATGTGAAAAATACTCAAGACTTCATGCCTGCGAATCTGTTTTCATTCAATCGCACACAGAAAAAGAAGTAAAGGGAAAGGAGTTAAAAAAGAACAAAAGGAAAGGAAAGAAAAAATCAAGTGTGACAGTACAGAATCAGATATGCCATTGATTTATGTAGAAGCTCTAGAATATAAAACGTCATTCTGCACACAGCTTTATCACATGCAGGCACTGTGGAACCCATGGAACAGTCTTCAGGCCAAAATCATGCAGTTTGCTGCATGTTTGAGCCGTTACGCACTCTACACTGCCTCACCTCAGGCTGCCGCTCCTACCTAGTCTGCAGATTTAGAGAAAGGGAATTTTAAATTCGCTGCAATTGCTGAACACGTACCTCAGGATGCAATGGAATAAAACATCTGGTCAACTACACCGAACACACATGGTACTTTGTTTACATAGCACACTACAAATTACAAAAATGGCAAGCTCTAGGCCACTCCTGTTCAGGAGAAAGTCTGCACACCCCAGGGAACACGAAGGACAGCATCCTCTCATATAGCTGTCACTCTCTCCTTTGGTAGACATGACATTTGTGAGATGCCTAGTCAGTGCTCTACGATTATGTCAACTCCACGTCTTTTGGCTACCCAAGAGGCAGCTTTAACGTATAAGCGGGATTAGCAGGTCCAAAAGAACGTAGGCGGGGGGCTATTCAGGTTGAATTTGGCTCCCCGGCCAATATACCTGTCTATACACAAGAACCTTCTGATTTCCTTCTCTAATTCCTGCCCATGAAGCGAAGAGCTGTCTGCTTGAAGAACAGGTAGCTAGGATGAGCTGTAAATTTGCTCAGCTGGTTCCCTCTTGGACTATTGCTTTTACTCTGATAATACTTTAATTGGATTTTCTTTTTTTAAAATTGATTAAGCACTGCTAAGAAAGAGCTGATAAAGTTAGCCAAGGGCTTGTTAACTACCACAGTGATCTTCTGATCCTGAACTGCAGTCCTCAATAGCAAAAGGACAGAAAGTTATAAGCTGTTATGTTCTGATCACAAGTCAAGCAGGCAGGGTATACTGAATAAGAGGTGAGGCAGGAAGAAGAAAAATGATTTTTTTTAAATAGATCACTATCTGGGTATCTAAACGGATAACCAAAACAAAACCATCACTTCAAGTAGAAACTCAACTGAAAATACACGCAGGAGCCCAAATAAATTTACTGAATCCCAACTGATGCAAAAGCTGTATATTCAGGGATCCTTTCAACAGGATAAAGGAGACAGAACCATTCAATGAATGAAAATCTCTGATCCCAAAGAAACCAGGGCTTCCAGGTAAACACCACACAGAGCAGGGTTTGCTCATTCGGCATAATCACAGTATACAGACACCAGAGAATCTCGACAAATAATTCCTGATACTAGAATAAATCTTGCGATGCAAGACTGTGATCTATTCTCCTGGACTATTTTGCAGATAGCTGTTTTAGCTGCAGTAGAACAGACATAGTCCCACTGAAAACAATTTCAGTTTTCTCTCTAAAACATAGGAAGCGTAGAGTCCCAGAGTGCTACTGAAGAAAAGACAAGAGGGGAAAAAAGGGGATTCAAAGGATTACACAAGTTCGAAGTTGTCCATAGATAAGTCATGAGAGCAATTTTTTGAAAGAACAAAAACTTGGAGTGTCTCATATATATATCTCTATTTTTTTTTTAAAATGAGATGTGGCCCAAGTCAATGCTCTGAACATTTGAGCGTGGATTTCAGGAGTCTCCTTGGCTTCTGATACCCATTTCTATTTTCACAACTAAAATGGCTCTTCCAAGCTACATGGTAAACTGAAAAACAAAACAAAACAAAAACAAAAACCTATTTCAGGTCTTCACCTGGAGGGACCACAGAATCCATAATATGCTAGCAGCATGTAAATCCCGTTCCTGTTAAGCACCAAAACCATTTCTATAGGGGAGTTGTAATCTTAAGAGATATCTTTAATAATATACAGTATATGTGTGGAGCCCACCTTTCAGGCAGAAAAATACCCCTCCAACTTTAGTTTAGAATAGGTTATATCAATTGGAAAAGTCCCGGTCAGGTTGTCATGAACGTTACTGCCTCTTACGGGCCCTCCCTAAAAAGATCTCCTTCCTAGAACCACTCTTGGTGCTACTTTCATGACTGTTTGTTCCCGTGTATTAGAGGAATGACGTAGACAGAAATGTCGTCTCCAGAGCCCAGTCTGTCGTTGGATATCCTCCAGCCCCTGTCCTTGAGCACTCCCCTGGCTCGCATCACCAGGTCCTGCGCCGCTAACGTGTATCTGCAGAAAAGGCAGAGCACAGTCAGCGTTGCTAGTACTACGCGCTAGCTCTCGGCAAGCGTAAATCTCACAGGTTGTGAGGTACAAGGACGAGTCACCCGGTGTTTCAGACGTGGCAAAGAGGAAAGTTAACCGCAAAGCAACCATTTGTAGTTCAGTACGAGCTTTTATTTGAGAACCTCCAGGCATTTTGCAGACACTGATTAATCAAAAAGTGATTGGTCATTTTGGGTGCCCAGCTTCACAAGTATGAAAACACTTGCCTTAACAAATTAGGTTTCTAGAAGTAATGTGAAAAATTGAGGACCCAAAATAACACTACTTACTTTTGAAAACTACACCTTTGTGGACCGCAACCCCTCTTGAATGAAAATAAATATGGGCCTGCTCATTTCAGAGACAAACTAAAGCAAAGTAAGTGATCTGAAAATAACTAACAAAGCTAAAAATAAAATCCAAACTGCACTTTAAACCAAGTAGATAAATTGTCTGTTTTCCTTGAACATAAGAAGGTTTTTCAAGTCTCTTATTCTGAAATTGGAAAAGGAAATTTAAGTGAATACAGCCAGATTAACAAAGTCCACAATCCTTTCACATTTATGAGTTCAATGAAAACTGTGTGAACGTGAGTTGTCAGGTGCTTAATTTAATGAAATACCCACCAGTAGTTTCACGATGCTTCAAAACTCCCACAATGCGGTGGGCTGAATGGCATTGTATTTACGAGAGCTATTTTCTGTCCTTAAGAAACAACAGATGCTGCTTGGGGACACAAGGGTGTAAGAGGACAAGGGATGGTGCACAGAGTGCGCTCTGCCCTGCACCACCCAGAATGCAGAACTGGTGCTTTGCAAGCTGGATTATTTCTACATGAGGCCTTATTCAGTAATCCTTCTGATCCTAATGCAGTATTGATCAGAAATGTTCTCCCTTATCTTTTTACCTGCTGTTACTAGATCAACACGTCTTTGTGCAAATGCAGAAACTGCCTCTGAAAAAAATCTCATTATGGGTGAACAACTCCTATCATGTGTTTTTTCCTCATCAGTCCAACACCTGGCTGAGTTCTTTCGAATTTGGCTGGGTAGAGGCAAGCCTTTCTATGATTTGCTACTTAAAAATTCATCTAATAGTTAAAAGATTCACAAAGTATAACAGCACAATATTGTATCTGCCTGTACTGTATTTAAAACTTCAACATCAGTCTTTACGGTGATGAAGGGCTCTGTAAGGCCAATCAATCACACATGCAAGCAGAAGCCAAGCACCCCTTTGTAATTAACAGAAACCAGGAAGGGCAAGTAGGCTCTGCACTTCAAGACCATCTTTTCAAGGGGAGGCTTTTCGGCCAGAAATGATCTGCCCAGATCACATCTGAGGAAGAAGAAAGACTAGACAGTATGACTCCACTGATCAGAAGTAGAGAAAAAAGGGTTTATTAAGTGAGTATCCAGGATTGTTCTAAACCCAGAAATTTTAATCAGAGAATGAATTATTCAATGGTAATTTATGTCAAAAGAGACTTTATTCACTCTCTGGGGATAACAGGAGAAAAAAAATCAATTTGTTGTTATGTTCTGTTTCTACAGTTTTGGTGCCTTAAACCAAATAACTCCTTTGAACCAGGAGCAAAAAGATTTATTCGCTTTACTGGAAAGTTACCTTCACTACAAATAAAATCAACCAATATTTTTAGTATACGAAAGCTTTGATGTTAAATCCACATAATATTCTACATAAGCAATGCGCTTCCTCCTCCTAACAGTACTAAGAAAGTGGTAAAATTTCTAGGCCTCACTAGTTTTGACACAAGATTTACTTACAGCGATAAAGGAAGGGCCCAAGGGTCATTTTACACCAGGCAAGGCATGAACATGCACACACTCCTGCACATTCTCGGTATATTGCAAGGTCTGCTTGGTACCAGAGACCTTGAGGTGTAAGAGCAGGAGGTAACAAGAAGCACTAATTGCACTGTTCTAATACAATACAAAATTTTGTTTTCTAAGTGGGAAAGAAAACCTAAACATACATACTTGCATGCCTCAGTTTCCAAATCCCCAAATCAGAGGCTGGGCTAAAGAACAGAAATACTCCACATGGCAAGCAAGAAACTAGAATACTTATTCACAGCATGTCTGATACTGAGAGAATTTTGGCTTAGGACATCTTTTTCAAGGATTTCTCCATTATTGTCAGAATTTAAGAGAAGAAATCACCCATTACTCTGGGAGAAGAGAACATTTGCCTTCCTCCTTTTCTCCCCACTTCTAAAGAGCAGGAAGGAATAAGTGCTGCCCTTTATTGTGCAAAGGCTTTGCTGCTTAGTGTTTTGAGAGGACAAGATTTAAAAAAAAAAGTAAGTCTTTATTAAACCAAAAACTCCCTTATAGACAGACTGTGAAATACACAGGAAAACCAGCACACTGAAGCTAAGGAAAAGGAACAGGTGAAGGCAGCAGCGAGGTAACATATTCCTCTCCTAGTGTACAGCTGAATTGGAGTGATGCTGTTCAGCTTGGCACTAGAGGAGACAGGGTGAGTTTCTTGTACCTGGAGATGAACAGCAGCAGCAATCCATTATTGAATGCCTTATTCTCTAACACTGTGAACTTGGGATTCAGCTGTTGAGGCAGCATTAGAGAACTGGTGAAGTAGTTTTAAAGTATCCACTTCCTCCTAATGAACAGCCTCACTGGAA